CAGGCAGGCTTCAGAAAAATCTGGAAAGACTTGTACGGACTGATGCTGAGTGAACTGAGCAGAACCAGAACATTGCACACAGTAACAGCCACGGTGTGCAATGACCAATGTTGATAAACTTAGCCCTTCTCAGCAATGCAAGGATTTAAGACATCTCCAAAGGTGTCATAATAGAAAATGCTATCCACAACCAAAGAAAGAACTACGGAGTTTGAATGCAGATCGAAGCATACTACTTGCTGTTTTTTTCTTCTGTTTTGTTTTGTTTTCTCTTTCTTGTGGTTCCTCCTATTGGTTCTACTTCTTCCTTACACAGTAATGTGAAGATATGTTTAATAGGAATGTATATGTATAACCTATATCAGAGTGCATGCCGTCTTGGGGAGGGAGGGGAAGAAAAATTAAAAACTCAAAAGCTTATCGAAGTGATTGTTGATAAAATAAATTAGTAAAAAAGACTGAAAAAAAATAGAAGAAAATGTAAGGATCTAAAAAACTGACCTGGAAAACAGACTGATGAGAAAGAAAATGAAGAATCATTGGACTACCTAAATGCCATGATCAAAACAAGACTCAAGACCAAAACATCATAATTCAAGAAACTAAAAAAACCTTCCAGATCTCTTAGAATCAGAGAGCAAAATGGAAATAAAATAGATTCTATCAGTTACCTACGAAAAAAAATCCTCCAAATTAAAACTTCCAGACGCACTTTAGCCAAAACCCAAAGCTTCCTGGTCAAAAAAACAAAACATGAGACATTGCAAGCAGTCAGAAAGCAAAAATTCAAGTAACAAGGAGCAAAAGTCAAGCTCACAAAGGGTTTAGCCGCCACTACTATCAAGGGTCAGAGAGCTTGAAATACAACATTCCAGAAAGTAAAGGATATAGCCTTACTTACAGTCAAGAATAATTTACCCAGCAAAATTGAATATAATCCTAAAGGGAAAAAAAAATCAACCTTTGATGAAATAGGGGGCTTCCAAGCATTGTTGATGAAAAGACCAAAGCTATGCAGAAACTTTGAAGTTCAAAGACAGGAAGTAAGAGAAACATTAAAAGGTAAATACAAATGAACAATGATAAAGGACTAAATGAGGATAAACTGCTTATATTCTGACATGAAGAGATGATACCTGTGCCCTCTCTGAACCCTAGCATCATAGGGATCATAGAGGGAGTCTGTGTACCTCACATAATGAAGATGTGCAAATAGACATCTATTACCAACAAGGAGGAAGGGGTAAGGGGAGCAGTTGACTCTTGCACTGCACGTCTTCTGTACTAGTCAGAGGAGGCAATATCTCTCTCTCTCTCTCTCTCTCTCTCTCTCTCTCACACACACACACACACACACACACACACACACACACACAGATGGGTACAAATATATATCTCATTCAATGGCAAAATAGGGGGGAAAGGGAAGAAGGAGGAATTAGTGAGAGAATAGTTCAATGGAGAGATTAGTCTTAGGCAGAACAAAGTCTAAAGATATGCAGAAATATTTATAACTCTTTGAGATGGCAAAGAATGGGATTCTTAGCCCATAAACTGGGAGATGGCTGAACAAGTCATGACACATAAATGATATAGAAAATTATTGTAAGGAACAATGGAGGAGATAATTTCAGAGAAACCTGGGAAGACTTATTTGGGGAAAGGGAAAAGAAGAGAATAAGTGTTTATGAATCACCTACAATGTGTCAGGTACAATGCTAAGCCTTGTACAGATATTATCTTAGTTGATCCTCACACTAACCTGTGAAAATAGGTGCTATTATGATCCCCATCTTATAGCTGAGGAAACTGAGGCAGACAGAGGTTAAGTGACACACATCTTCCTGACTCTGGCCCGGTGCTCTATCCATTGCACAAGGTAGCTGCTTCATTTGAACTGATGCAGAATGAAATAAATTGAGCCAGGAGAACAATTTATAGGGTGAGAGCAATACAGTAAAGACAAACAACTATAAATGAATTAGGAACTCTGACCAGTGTAATTACCAACGATTCCAGAGTAGTAATGATGAAATACACTACCTGCCTCCTGATAGGGAGACAAAAGATATCAGGGAGATTTTTTTTTTTAACAAGACCATTGTGAAAATTTGATTTGCTTGACTATGTATGTTCTATACATGTATAGAGGATTTTGTTTTTCTTTTGTTCTCAATTAGGAGTGAGGTTGGGATGGAAGGGAGGGCAGATTTCTACTGATTTTTTTTTTAATGCAGCTTTTTTTTTTTTAAGAAAAATTTGTCAAAAGACTATACCTCATCTGATCCTGGTAGTTCTGCTGGCTTTTGTGGTGCAGTGGCTTGTAATTCTAGGCTCTGAAATGAAAGGAACTTTAGCCTTTCTTACCAAGGAGAGGCTTACTAGGGCCCACAGCAGATGAAAGCAGAGGGTAGTAGATGGCTTTGAAAAGGTTAGACAGCTGAAGACCAGCAGATGGTAGCAGAGGGCAGCCCACTGACCATAAGTCAAGAGAGATGCCCAGCTCAGAATGAAGATGAAGTGCTCAACAGAAAACAGAGGAGAGTAGCATAGTAATATCACCAGGAATACCAGTCTTCAGCACTGAATGAATGAGGTCAGTGGTCTAGCCACATGTACATAATGGTAATGCATGATCACCCTGCTGATGACAAAAAACTAGGAGGGTTAACATTCGGGTTGGATGATAGGCAAAATCAAAAAAGAATCTAGCTAGATTCTAGAACCAGCTAGAACATTGGACTAAATTAAAAAAGATGAAATATAAGAGGGGAAGTGCAAATAAAGCCTCACACTTGGGTTCAAAAATGAATTTGAGAAGTATTAAATGGGAGACATAATGACTAGATAGTCATTGATTAGAAAAAATAATTGAAGATCTTAATGAACTGCAAGTGCAGTGTTAGCTGACAGTAAAATATGGCTGCGCCAAAAGCAAATGCAGTCTTTGACTACATGAAGAGAAATATGATGTCCGTGAGTAGGGAGGTGATAGTTCTGCTATACTCTGCTCTACATGGATAATATCTGGAGAACTGTATTCAGTTTGAGCCACCATATTTTAAGAAATACATAGTGTACAGAGAAGAGTGACCAGGATGGACTTTAAAACCATGCCAGATTAGCTTAAGGAAGTAGAGATAATTAGCCTGAAGAACAGAATCCTAAACAGAAATAATCAACCCATCAGTCATTATTTATTGGGCTCCTACTATGTGCCTTTTTGCTCTTCTGATGATCACATGTAATTTTTGGAATTTCTCAGTAAATATACATATTGATCTTTGAAAAATGCTCATCTTTATTAAAGTGGGTAAATAGTTCTAATAAATAATAAATAGTTCTAAATAGTTAACACTTCAAGGGCAAGGAACAGCGTAATCTCAGGGAGCTATTATTCAGCAAATTGGGATATTAAATATAAGCCCCAGATGTTTATTCATTAATTCAGGTGAAAGTAGTGCTAGGGTTGGTGTTTGCTGTTAGATTGATCTACCTCTGGAGTAGAGGATGTCCATCCCCAATGATAATACAGTATCATAGGGTTTAGAACAGAAGGGAATCTTAGAAATCACTTAGTCTAAACCCCTCATTTTATAGAGAAGGAAATTGAGACTCAGAGACTTTAAGTGTAAATGACTCACCCAAGGCCATGTAAAAAGAAGTGGAAAACCCAGAAATTTTTATTCTTAATCCAGTGTTCCTTCCACTACACCACACTACTCTTTTGATCCTTGCATTTGTCCCTTGGAAGCAGTTCTTGGAAAGGAGAATGACTATGAAATTGTCTCCACAGAAAAAAATTGAGGTTTGAGGCAACAATGTTCCCCTATGGTCACCTAATGCTCTGGAGAACTGGCCAGTGTGAATTCTTTCTGCTTCATGGTTTCCTTCTGTATTGCTCTTTTGGTTCTCTCCCGTAATGGACCTGATTTCCTTATTTTACTTTTGAAAAGCAGAGTTTATTTAAAGGTTCTGGGTACAAAGTCAGGCAATTTGGAAGCAAATTGTACTTTGCTTCAAAGATCAACAAGAAACCCACAACAAATAAGCATGTCTAACTTGGTGTCCCAATAAGCAAAGCTGATGTGGACTTTTAAGGGATTGGAATCCTGGAGAGATGTTAAATTTTTTAAAAATAGGGCTAAAATAATTGGGTGTACATGTAAAATGGAGTTAAAAATTTGTGCTTTTTAACTACCACAGAAATAAATGTTAGATATTTTTATTGATTGCAAAATGGCTTCCTGGACCTGTTCCTGACCTCCAGACTCAAAACCATACCTCTTCTGCTGTCTCATCCTGGCACCTCCCTCAGCAACTGGGCTTCCTTGACTGGCAACACCTGATCACCCCTATGAGATGTTTCTTTGCAAGTCTTTCCCTCTTCTCCCACTGGTAAATTCCTCCTGAAGCCTCCATTTTGTGGAGGAGCCCAAGCCAGCCTTCATCCCCCTCCTAGCCCTGCTTTTGACTTCTGGAATTTTATTTAAACTGTGCCTCCATATTCATGGCTTTCAATCTATGCACCTTCCCCAATTCTCAGCTCCCTTTTGGGTCTTGTTTTCCCCTATTATACTTTAAGCTCTTTGAGGGCAGGGACTGTCTTTCTTTTTGCTCCCCAGCACTTAGTACTGTTCCTGCACTTTAAGTGTTTAATCAATCCTTCTTCTCTTCTTCCTTCCCTCCTTTTCTCCTTCCCTTACTTTCCTTGCTTTCTCCCCCTCCCACCATTCCTCTCTTCTTTTCTTTGTTACTTTTCTCCCCTCCTTCCTTCATTTCTTCCTTCCCTCCTTCCATCTCTTCTTCCTTCCATCCCTCCTTCCTTTGTTCCTTCATTCTTTCCTTCCTTCCTTCCTTTGTCCTCTCCTTCCTTCCTTCCTTTCTTTCTTCCCTCCTTTCCTTCCTTCATTCTCTCCTTCCTTTGTTCCTTCCTTCCTTCCTTCTTTCCTATGTATTGAAATAGGATTTTCATCCCATTCCCCAAACTGCAGCTTTACCTTTTAATATTGGACAGATTTTCCAGACTCCAGCAGCTCCTTCTCTATTGAATTGTCCTAATGCCAATTCCATGTAGAAAAGTGGCATCCCAGCAATCACCATGAAAAACAAGTATGGGACCAGGAAGGCTCCTGTAAAGGAAGGATAACATGTGATCACCAAGGCGATCGATATGCTGAGATGCCCATCATTAAAGCAATAAGCTCACTTTTTTTTAGTGCCTTCAGGTTTACCAAATGCACATTCCTTACAAAAATCCTATGAATTAGGTATTACAAGAGTTCTTGTCCTTATTTTACAGGTAAGGAAATTGAAAATTAAACAGATTGTGGGACCTGCCTATAATCATATAGTTGGTTAGTGTCAGAGACAGTGTTAAATGGCATCAACGTCGTTGATTCTAAGATCATCATTCTTTCCCCTATACCATGCTGAATGAACATTCAGTGAGGTTATTCGGGTATTTGCAGTTCTCATCTATGTTTTGCCGTACTGGATATAGGCATATGAACTAAAGGAGAATTTGAATTACTAAAAATTCTAGAAGTCAGGCCACCAGAGAGATATGCCAGGGTTGAAACTTTCTGGGACTGGTGGAAATCTATGTGTTATCACTGGTTTGTGGAGATGGAGGCATGGGTCATAGCCATCTGTGTCTAGAGCATAGGCTGTGCTACAGATTAGTGGTGTCAAACTCAAATAGAAACAGATCTCCGAGGGCCACATGTTGACTTAGAAAACCACAAATTAGCATTATCTATGTTGAATTTTTATTTTGTTAAACATTTCTGAATTACATTTTAATCTGGTTTGGACAGCACTTGGGAGTTTTGTGGTTGTGGCTGAAAGGCCTTAAGTTTAACATCTCTGCTATAGACCACCATCACCAGATGTGAACATCCTCTAGGTTTTCAACAAGAACTTGATTGTGCGAAGTACATCATTTCATCAGCAAGACAGTTCCAGTAATTTTGACTTCATGGATGTATTATGAGTTATGGTATATGTTATGAGTATATTAGGAGTAGAAGCACTAGTTAGTGCTTCTCCAAGCACTCTGTAAATACAAAATAGGAAAGTGATATTTGAGGATTGTAGAATTGAGAAGTTGAATCTGTCTCTTTTTGACCTTCCAAAAAACTAGATAGTATTGTGAATGACCATGGGTAGACTAGACATTCTCATAGTCTCTAAAGGACTATGAGGAATTTTATTTTCCATTAGAAACTTTTCTCCTGTTCAACTTGCTATAACCATATCCTATTAATGTTCCCAGGACAGAAATATCTAACTTGACCTTGCACTTCCCTCTCTCTTACAACTCTGCACTACCCACATTTGTCTTCCTATCCCAGTTTTTAAAAACAGCTTTTTTTTTTTTAGGCAATTGGGCACTGGGCAAGTGACTTGCCCAGGGTCACACAGCTAGTAAGTGCAAAGTGTTCGGTCTGAGGCCAGATTTGAACTCAGGTCCTCCTGACTTCAGGGCAGGTGCTCTATCCACTGTGCCACCCAGCTGCCACTTCCTACCCCAGTTTAGAAAGAAAGTGAGCACATAGAATAGGGTGATGAATTAGATGAATAGGGTGAGATGGAGGGATGGGAGGTTATGGTCAGGATGAAGAATAGGTTCAGGGAGAGTGAGACAGAGAGAAAGATGGAAGAAAATAATTTATTATCAGACAACAGAATTTCCTAATAAAAATAATGTGGTAGCACAGTTATAGGTGATGTGATCATTTCTACAGGTGGCTGAGGTAGAGTGAAGTAGGTTATGGAGTTGAGAAGGTTGATGAAATAGGAGGATAAAATTTGAGCCTGAATATTGAAGTCCTTGAGTATGAAAGCAGATATTGGGGTGGAGAGGAAGAATGTAAGCTAGGTACAAAATTCCTTGAGATAAGAGAGAGAATGAACTGGAGACTAATAGATCAAATATTTGGTCTTAAAAAGAGCACTAGACTCCATTTACCTAACCACCCTCATTTTACAGATGACGTCTAGAAAGTTTAGATGACTTTCCTGAGATCACACAGGTAGTATACAGTGAAGCTAGGATTCCAAACCAGATTTTCTGACTCCAAATTCCAGCATTCTTTCCAGTGTACAATTCTGCCCTGGAATTTTGGCTGGGTGATATGGACAGATTGAGTGAAGCTCAGAGGAGGAGATGATGCTCAATAATGGGGGAAATGAGTCTGGAAATGGCAGTGAGAAGCAAAGAGTATGTCTTCTCTTCTTCCTGTTCTAGGTTGTTGGGTAGCAAGAGAGAAAGTGCATCTGGTACCAGGGAAGACAGCAGGGGATGCAGTGTCTTTTAGAAGGCTTCTGTTAGCTCCAGATCATGGAACAAGCATATTTTTATGAAAGAAGACTCGGAATGAAGGGGAGTCCATTAAAAACAGAATGGGAGTTTCAAAGGGCACACTTCAACATGAGAGGAGAAGAAGATATGGATTGCGCACATTTATGATTGAGGTAGATGAGGTATGTGTTTATGGGGAGAAGTAGGAAAGTGAACAGAGTTTTCTCTCGGTAGATGGCAGGGACAAGGGGAAATGGAGTTGACAGTTTGCCTGCCATAATGTGGGAGAAGTAACAGTTGATTTGGTCCCAGGGTACAGAGATAACTCTATACAGTATTAGTACAGGATAGTGGCAGGGAAGCTAGGTGGCACAGTGGATAGAGGGCTTGGCCTGAGTTAGGAAGACTCATCTTTGTGAGTTCTAATTCGGCCTTACACACTTACTAGCTGTGTGATCCTGGCCAGGTCATTTCTCCCTGTTTGCCTCATTTCCTCATCTATAAAATGAACTGGGGGCAGCTAGGTGGTGCAGTGGATAGAGCACCGGCCCTGAAGTCAGGAGGACCTGAGTTCAAATCTGGCCTCAGACACATAATACTTACTAGCTGTGTGACCCTGGGCAAGTCACTTAACCCCATTGCCTAGCCAAAAAAAAAAATAATAATAATAAAATAAAATAAAATGAACTGGAGAAGGAAATGGCAAAGCACTCCAGTATCTTTGCCAAGAAAATCACAAATGGGTCCATGAAGAGTCAGACACGACTGAAAACAACTGAACAACAACACAGGCAATGTCATGAGTTTTCACGGATGATCACTGGACACATAGGGAAGCAAAAAGTAGAGGCCCCCAGAAGTTCTTTCTTGGCATCTAAGGAAGTAAATAACCTAGTTCACACAGGGCCAGTTGATGGATGAAGTGATTCTCCTAGAAAACACTTCATAGGTGAGTAAGCTGTCAGCTTCCAGTCTTTGAATCTTGGAAAAATGGGCATAATGATGGCTGTAATATTTATTTAACTGGGTTGTGAGAATCAAATGAGATGATGTACATAAAACACTTTACTAGTCTTTAAGTGCTATTTAAATATCATTCATATACTAGTACTAGGCTATTGTTGTCACAGCAGTGTCACTGCCGCCATTGCCAGAAGACACGGAGGCGACTTCGGAAGAGCTGGAATTAAATTGGTTCTGTGAGTAATAACCCTGAAGTCAGGAGGACCTGAGTTCAAATCCAGCCTCAGACACCTACTAGCTAGTTATGTGACCCTGGACAAGTCACTTACCCCTCATTGCCTCTAAAAAAAAATAAGATAAATCAGTTCTGTGAGTTTATAAGACAGAACTTCAGGAAGAAGTAGGGTTCCTCCCAATACAGATCAGAAAATTGAGACAAAGAGGTAATTTCCCTAAGATCACATAGCATAGTATGGCCCTTAAATTTACAGTCCAGTTATTTGCTGATTACAACATGAAACTGGAAGTTCAGCCTAAACAGTCATTTTGTATGTTAAGTCTCCATTTGATCTTTTGGATGCATTCCTCACCTAGGGAGTGCCCTTCTAATTGAAAGTAAAGTTGAATATATTTATCTTTTAATGAAAACAAAATAGTCATTGCTGCAAAAAGTGATACCTCTATTGTGAAATCCAGAATAAAATTCAGACAGTTTAAAAATGGTGGTTCTCATATCAAATTGGCTTGAATATGATAATATAAATTAGTCTTTATGATTGAAGGTAAACTAGTACACATACTAGAATTTTAATACTTTCATTTCTTATTGCTATTAAATATCTGATTAAAATGAGGTTGGGACTTTGGGGGGGATCATACATGCATATGTACATATGTGTATATATGTGTGTGTATGCACATATATATGTACATATACATACACTTTATATACAACTGATGTCTGTGCCTCATTAGTTAAACTGGTTATTATGCCTCACCAATCAAACCATGATCAGTGTTTAATCCCTATGAGACATAGATTACATTAGTTCCATGTCCAAAAACTGCCCCCATACTGGTGCCTTCTGCCATAATAGTTAACAGAGGAATCAGCTTCATACTGGGAGTAAGGGATCCCAGTTTCTAGAACTGTAAGATTTAGATATGTGATAGATCTTAGAGATCTATTATTTCTGCTCTCTCTCAGCTTATGTGCATGGAAATTACGGGCTAAAGAAGTCAAGTCAAAAGCATTTATTAAATATCTATGATGTGCCAGGAAATTTAGTACATGTCCTAAGCACTGGGAATACAAAGTAAGGCAAAGGACAATCCATGCTCCTTAGGAGCTAAGAGTTTAATAAAGGAGATGGCATTCAAACAACTATGTATGAACAATATGTATATAATCACTCATACCCACATACCCACACATACAAATATACGGGTATGTCTGTATATGTTTGCATATACATAAACACATATATGTGTGTGTATACAAACATACACACACATATGTTTATGTGTGGAGATAGATGGATGGATAGACAGATAGACATACAGATAGATGGATAGACAGGTAGACAGATGGGTAGATAGATGGATGGATGGATAGATAGATGAGTGGAAAGATAGGTGAAAGATGAATGGATAGATAGGTAGATGGATGGATGGACAGATAAGTAGATAGATGGATAGATAGGTAGACAGATGAATGGATAGATAGATGAATGGTTAGATAGGTAGATGGATGGATGGATGGATAGATAGGTAGACAGTAGATATAGATACAGATGTAGATAGAGAGTTTCAGAGGGAAGGCACTAGCTTTAAGAGAGACTGAAAAAGGCTTTTTGTAAGTTAGTTTTTAGCTCCAGGGGACCAAGAGAGAAGAGTAATTGGGGGATGAAATTTCTTGTGCAAGGAACAGCAAGGAAGCCAGTGTTAATGGACAGGAGAACATGTAAAAAAGAGTAAGTTATACGAATACTGGAAAGGTAGGAAGGGACCCAGTTATGGAGGGCTGCAAAAACAGAAGAGAGGATTTTATATTTGATCCTGGAGATAACAGGGAGCCCTTGGAATTTTTTGAATAAGGGATGTGACATGGGCCAAACCTAAGCAGATCAATTTGACCTCTAGGAAAGGGATGGACTGGAGAGGGAGAGATGAGGCATGGAGATGAAGGGGCAAGTTATTACAATAGCCCAGGTGTGAGGTGAGGAGGGCCTGTACCAGGGTATTGTCAGTATCAGAGGAGAGAAGGGGCATATATAGAGATACAGAGAAGGTAGAATGAAAATGAGGTGGCAGTTAAATGAACCATATAAGGTCACATAGGTAATAAACAATGGAGTCAGGATTGAAAAGATACAGTGCTTTTGCCACTACACTATGCCTCCTCCCTGATTCTAAGTAGGAAAATACAATTATTATTACCTAAATATTTAGTGAATATTTATTATAGTTTACACATTAGTTTGAAGTTGAATTTATGGCAAAGAGAAATGAGCTAGATGGAACCATGGTTAGAGCTGAGTTTAAATTTGGCCTTAGACACTTACTAAACGATGTCAGCCTGGGCAAGTAACCTAACCTCTGACTCAGTTTCCTCATCTGTCAAATGGAGAAAATAATTATACCTACTTTCCAGAGTTGTTGTGAGATAACAAGTAACAAATGAGATAATATTTTTGAAGCGCTTTGAAAACCTTAAAGCACTTTAAATTTTAAATGCATGATGATGATGATGATGATGATGATGATATAGTAGAGTTATTGTTGTTGTTCAGTCATATCCAAATCTTTGTGACCCCACCTTGGGGTTTTTCTTGGTAGAGACACTAGAGGGGTTTGTCATTTCCTTCTCCAGCTCATTTTACAGATGAGGGAACTGAGGCAAATAGAATTAAGTAACTTGCCCAGGGTCACACAGCTAATAAATGTCTGAGGCTGGATTTGAACTCAGATTTTCCTGACTCCAGGACCAGTACTCTATCCATTGGGCCATATAGCTGCGTGATATAGCAGAATACTAATTTTTATCTTTATTCTTATACTTTATAGGTGATAGTGGACCTTTATATAAGCAATCATTCAATCCATCAACAATCAATCGTGTGGTTATAACCTCCACAATATTTCTAGAATCTACCTCCTCTCTACTTACAAAGCTACCACTTTAGTTCAGGACTTCATTATCTCTTGCCTAGACAATTAACTTCCTAATTGATCTCTCTGCCTCAATTCTTTTCCCATTCTTATCCATCCTGCACATAGCTGTCAAAGTGATTTTTCCTTTAGTAAAGATCAGACCAAGTCACTCCCTGACTCAAAAAACTCCAAAGACTCCCTATCGGATAAAATATAAACTCCTCTGTTTGGTTTTTAAAGTCCTTCACCACATGCACCCAATATTTCTTTCTATCCTTCTTCTATATTATTTCCCTTCCTGCACTCCACAATTCAGGCAAACTGGACTTCCCTCTGTTCCTCATTCATGGCACTCCATTTCCTATCTCCCCATGCATTTGCACTGGCCAACCCCTATGGCTAGAATGTGCTCCTTCCTCTACCTGCCAGGATTCCTCTTTTCCTTCAAGACATGACTTTCCCAATCCATCCAAATGTTAGTGGCTCTCTTCCTTAGCTCCCTTGAATATAGTTACCTAATACTAATTTTATATTTATTTTGTACATATTTCTTCCGTAAATACTTACTTTATATATCTTGTCTCCCCTGATAAAATATTAGCTCCTTAAGAGTGCAGATTATTTCAGGGTTTTTTTTGTATTTGTTTCTAAGCACTTGGCACAATCAAATACTTGACGCACAGTATGTAGTGCTTAAAGAATGTTTGTTGATTATTTTTATTTGCATATATAATTTATTATACAGTGGGCCCTTATGTAATCAATATGAACTATACATTTATTCCAGTTTTATAAGATTTGGAGAATAATTTTTATAAATCAAAATAGTCTTGGCTCTGCTATTAGTTAGAATCTTCGGCAAATCACTTCATCTCTCTGGGTTTCAACATGATCTGTAAGGTTCTTTTCATTGCTAACATTCTGAGATTCTAAAACTATAGTGATCATCACAAATCTATCCTCTTTCCTATAAAAATAATTCAAAGTATCCTAGCACTTTGATATATAAAAATAGCCTCAAATATGCCCTATTGATAACGGGTCAGAAGCTTCAAAGAATTACAAGGGTTCAAATTGGAAAGAACCTTAGAAGTCATCAGGTACTGTCCCACCATTTTATAGCTGAGAAAACCAAGACCTCTAAAAGTTAAGTGACTTGGTCAAAGTTGCAAAGCCAATTGGTGAGAGATCCAGGATTTGAACCCAGTCTAGTCCAGCTCTCTTTCCATTACACCATTTAAATGGCATTATGTTTTTACCAACAAACCATGTAAAACTTATGAATGTCTTGTATCTATTTACTCTTAGCCATTAAATACCCAAGTTATAGTTATTAGAAATGCACAGAACTATTGTCCTGGGCCTTACCGCCTCCATTTTTGTAGCAGAGGTAAGGAAATCTCCAAACATTAGCAAGGTCTACCGCAAAGCCAATCACGGACAGGAGAAAGTCAATCTTTTTGCCCCAAGTCTCTCTTTCTTCTGTTTCAATGCTGGTTTGGGCTGGGTTAATGAGGGTTGAATTGGTGAATTGCATTCCATTTTGCTCTTTAACAAGAATGAGCTCCATTTCCTTGGGGCCCATGGCATTGGATTCTTTAGCCACCACTGAAGACATCTGTTTCACTGGGGATCTAGCTTTAATTATGCACAGACTTGGGAATGATGAAATATTATGAAGCTTCTCAGCTTTTCCCTGTGTGGGTCATCAATGTAAAAAAAAAACAGCAAACAAAGAAAATTATTTAACAGGCAAGAACCACTTGTAGATATACCATGTATTATGTGGCACTTAATATGATGGAATAGAAAAGGGAAATAATGGAGAATCAAGCTATAAAGCACATTTTAAAGGGAAATATACATGTGTTCTTTATATTAAAAACAAAGTGTAACTCTCCTTATTTGATGTTCCAGTACCATAAACTTTCCCTGCTTTGAGTACAATAAAGTTTGTTTATTGATAGTAATTTAATATTCATCAAAATCATGCAGCAACAGACCTCTAAAAATAATACACATTTATGTTCATTTTGAAAATACAAGGCAAAATATAGATAAGCAAAATCATTTGAAATGGATATAAAATGTAGCTGTCTGTAGAACACAAAATCAAAGACACATCAAACCTTCCTTCTATGAATGCCTATTCATATAACATTCACCCTATATAACCTCTTACATTCCTCCTCCTCTAACTCCCCTCCCCAACTACCAAACATTAAAGAAATGTGCACATGGCTTCCTGATTTATAATATCAACTACCAATTCAAAGAGAGGAAAACCAGTCACATCTAATATTTCCAGAAGCTTCACCATATAAGTAAATTTTTTTGTAACATAGTAAGAGGGCACTAAAACACTTCAGTTTTACTCATGATTAAGGCAATACCTCATACTTTAAGCTTTCCTTAATATTATATATTTTTTTCAATATTTATAATCCAACAGGAAAAGTTGGGTTAAAATACTCATTTGTTCCAATTTCCAATTAGGATCATAGCTTTCATGCTCAAACAGACATTGATAAGTCATCCATTCAAGCCCCATTGGAATATTCCTTTTTCAAAGATAAAACTGAGGCCCAGAAAAGTTTCGACTTCCACATGGTTATGTGGGCAAGTAGTAGTTTTTTAATCCAAGTCTGACCACTCCAAACTCACACACCTTTCATTCTACCCTGCTGCCGCATCCTGTAACATTTTTGAGCACAAGAACATAGAATTGTAAACAAGATGGTCACCTCTGAAGTGATGATTTCCCTGCAACTCTTTTCAAAGGAAACCACCTTAATGTCAATTATTTCCTTTTTGTTAAACATTTTGCAATGTTTGATTCATGGCTTCCCCAAGGGCAAACTCAGCAAATACACCTCTTAGATTTCTGTTGCTTAAAGCTGCATTTAGTTTAGGAAATACATAAGAAAGAATACAGTAGAAGGTGGTATTAATCTGCCTAGACTTCAAAGCTTTGACATTTGTGCTTTGCAAAAGGTCATTGTTTCTTCTTCAGCCACCTATATGAACTTGAAATGAAAAGTACATCCATTTAACACATTTAAAACATACACACACACACAATTTGTAAGTAGGTAGACAGACACAAATTCCCAAAGTAACAGCTGCCGAAGGTAAATATTTTTTTCTCTTGTATAAAGTGCCATGGGTGTCCAGCTTCATTGCCCGATAAAGAGAGAGCTTTCCACTAAATTCAGTTGAGAGAAGGTGGAACCGGACACGTTTTCCTTTTGCTTCACTGAGTACTGACACGGAAGCAAAGATTTCCCCAGCCAGGAATAGTATTTCTCATAAAGCAGACACTCCACCCTAGCCCCCAATGAATCATCTTTCTTTACAAAGCTCCTTAGACAGTGTATTTGTTGAGAAAATAATTTTTTGGACAAATATTGGGGGATATGCTTGCCGATCACAGGTCCCTTTATGTCTTTGGGAGGAACGAACCAAACTCATTATGTACTGTCAGGTTCTCTGATTCTCTAAAGGAGGAATCGTGACATGAAACCAACATCAACAAACACATATTGGCCGCCCACTGTGTGGACCGCACCGAATTCTAAGGAGACCCACCTGTTTAAGGAACCAAAAAAAATAAAAAGTCAATGCCCTGGGTAAAATGGACGGGACTGTTTTCTCTGGATCTACGGTCTCCCTTTAATTTGTGACTTTGCAAACTGCAGCAGCTCCTTCCAGTTCACCAGTGCTTTAGAAAAAGCAGAACTGAGAAGAACGAGGTTGCTCAGGGGAGGTGAGCAGTGAAGTGCCAGACTCAGGAGCCAGGGATGCTGCCCGAACGCCCAAGAAATGAGAGTTTCTTCGGAGTTTGGGAGGGGGCTGATTCTCTTAAAGAATTGGCTCTGGCTTCAAAGTCCCGAAGCGCAAAACAAAGACTTCTCTTCACTTATTCCAGGGGCGAAGTGGCTAAAGAAACAGTGCAGAACTGCTTGTCTAGTTGATGTCAAACATGCCCATTCGTGCCCACGTTTATGTTTTTCAATAATTCCGAGTTGCACTTTCAATGCTAACTCTTCACAACATTACTTTTCGGGATGTGGGGGTGCTTTCCACTTAATACCGTCTCTAGCAGTCTCTTCTCTAAATCGCTGCCTCTGGTGACCCTCACCCTCAAACCCTCGTGGAGACAGGGATGAGAATTCTTGTACCCTAAGGGACTCCCTTTGCCCTTGACCCCCAGTCATGGAGAAAGCTCTCCTCAAGTCAAGCCGGAATGGTGGGGGGAGGGGGTGCAAAGTCCCTCTCCCAAGAAAGGGGCTGACCCGAAGGAGCAGCGGGAAAAGAGAGCTAAGAGGGTAGATGCCGGAGTTTGGATGGGGGAGGGTTGGAATCCGGAAGACCCCAGGGCAGAGTGGTGGGTGGGCAAAGGTGCCGCCAGGTAGGTACCTACCCCTAGCAGGGGTTAAGGGCTTCTCCCCGAGTCGCTTCCTTACCTGGCTACGGAGGAAGCTGGCCCTCCAGATTAATATTTTTCCAAGACTCAACTGGTTTGTCTTAGTTTCACCTTCATAGAAGGGCTTCCAAGTCTGCGGGGCTGCCTCGCAGACTCCTCTGAAGACACGAGCTAGCGGGACCGGCCATTGGCTCTCTCTGGAACTTCAATGCTTCTTTCTGTCTCAGCTTAGGGCTCCCGGCTCCGCGAGTCCTTCCTCCAGCCCCGCCCCGCCCCGCCCCGCCCTTCTTCACTCCTCCCTCTCCACGCCGGGGGCCAAATTCCTCCTCTCTCTCCCCCCACCCCCAATCTCCACCTCCCTGAGCGAAGCAGTTGCCTTCTGACCTCCAACTCCGTAGCGGGAGGTCCCAAGTCTCAGGCTCCTAGAGGAACACTGAATTCAAGTGGCCAACTCCCCACCTCCATTCCGCCCTTCTTCGCCTCCCCCTTGCTGAGGAGGAGCTAGTTTCTGGAGAAGGGGAAGCTAGAAGCAGAGAAGCGAAGAACTAGCCCACCCAGCATACCCCTGCACCCTGATGTGGGAGGTGGTGCCAACTGCAGGAAGATCCTTGCCTTAAAGTTCAGTTCCAAATTTTTAGGTAATTGGCTAGAGCTTCCGCACACGGCAAAAAAAATTTTTTTTTCCTAGCCCCTCAGTCAAAGCCCTGACCTCATGCACCGGACCAAGCAAATTCTTGGCCACAACGCTACGGTCTCCCACGGTCTCTCGGGGAACCAATCTTGGTAGCTGAACCACATCCCCTGCTTTTAGCGGATAAGATTAACCAGGGCTTAGGCCCTTCGGTGCAGTTTGTGAGGGTGGAAGGTTTGTGGGAGGAATGGGTTAATCAGGAAGAAGTAGTATAGATGGACTTCATTGGAACTTACTTCCCACTCACCTACGTAGGTGGGAAGATTGGTTTAATGGAAGAGGGCTGAACTTGGAGTCAGGAAGACCCCTTGAGTGACCTAGGGTAAATCACTTAATCTCTCTGGGCCTCAATTTCCCCATCTGTTTGTTAAATGGGAGTGGGTCGAATAGATGGCGTCTAACTAAATTCCTTCCATCCATAAATCTACGACTTCTGAAGGCTATTTTGGACACTTACTAGTTACGTAGCCCTGGATAATTTTTTCAACCTCTCTGCGTTGCTTCATTTGTAAAATGGAAAGAATAATAGCACATCAGGATCATCCTGACTTCAAACAAGATAATATACATAAAGTGAATTTCAAAACTTAATGTAAATATGTTAACTATTCACAGACTTTTTTTTCCCTTTGCACAAGGCTAGGGAACTTGGTGAACTAAATGGTTTGTCTTTTATGTTTAAGAAAAGCTGAGCAGTGTTCTAGAAATGTGTTAAGTTGTAAAAATTTCTATTATTACGAGTTCTAGTCAAATCAGAGCCAAGTCTGACCTAAACAGCGAGTTCTCCTAACTACAATCTCTCTCCTTTTTACCCTCCCGGATTCAGACAACATTAGATCTGGAAAGCGCTTTAGAGTTGATCTAATTTAACCCCTTCCTTTCACAGATAAGGATATGACAAGTATACAGATAAGGAGGCCCAGAGGTGACTTGGCTCAGGTAAAGTGGCTGGTGGCACAAATAGTAGTTGGTGGGTGGCCGCGTTAGTACTGGGGCTTCCCGAATCTTCCCGGTACTCTTTCCAGTACACCACTGTTGACTTCATTGGGACCTATTTGACCAGCCCGAGAAGTTAGGACAGAGCTTCTGAAAGGCCTGTGCTGTAGTCCCGATTTTTAAAAAATTACTTATTTTTCCTTTGTCTAACTCACCATGGAACAGCCAGAGCATAAGATCCAGCAGGATTGGGGCACATCTGGCAGCTTCTTGCGCAGAGGGAATCAGAGATCAAAACGACCCTTCCGGGGCACTTACCTCCCAGGCAAACCTCACAAATCTTTGCGTTGAAGCTAAGCGGGGCCCTGTAGCATATCAGACACTCCAGCGCTCAGTTTCAGCGTCCCAGCTCAGGATATTTCCATACAGATGCCTGGTTCTCCGCCCCCATTCAGGCTCCGTTATCTATCCAAGATTATCTGTTTTCTTTTCCTGCTGAGCTATCTCTGGTACACGGATTACCTTTAACCCTCCTCTTTCCTCTGTTTAGCTGGGCACCTCTACTATCAGTTGACTCGGAGAGGTTGGCGAGAAGCTCTGTAGCCAGCCTCTTCTTCCTCTAAGCAGATAAAGTGGGAGCACAATGTCGAATGGAAACGCGTTGCATCCTTCCTTCCTTTGCTCACCCCACTACCCTCCACCCCAGCTCGCAAAGATGTTTGCTGAAGAGGGAGCGTGCTCTCAGTACTTCAGCTATTTGTCTGTGGGGCTAACTGAATTGGTCCAGAAGACTGGTTGTTGTAGCGGCTGCGATGGCTGGATGCTGTCTTTTCCAAGATAGTTGCAATTAACTGAATTGCTTGGAGTCACTAGGGCTGAACTAGAACTCTGAAATAGACAACTGGTTTAGAGGGGAGAGTTTCCTTACACTTTACAACAAAAACATTCACTTCAACTCAATTAAATTCCACAAACATTCACTAAGTCTTCATGCACCCAAAGCACTGGGCATAAAAAAAGTTAGTCCCATCTCTCACAGAGCTTCTATTTTGTTGTGCATAGAGAGGAATGGGGAAGGATGTGTGTGTGCAAGTAAGCAAATATAAAGAAAGTAAGAAATAATTTCAAGAAGGAAAGAGTGTCTTTTGGTCAGGAAAGGCTTCATAGTGCTCACTGAGTTGTGCTTTGGAGGAATCTAGGTATTCTATGGGACAGAAGAGAGGAGGGTATCCATTCCAGACCTGTGCAAAGTCATGGAGGGGAGAGATGGAATATTCTTTATCGGAGCAGCTAGCAGATCAGTTTGACTAGGAGGGAAAGCTATTGAAGGGAAGTTATAGAAAATAAAATGGGGGGGCAGCTATGTGGGCAGTGGATAAAGCTCCAGATCTGGAGTCAGGAGGACCTAGGTTCAAATCCAGCCTCAGACACTTGACACTTCCTAGCTGTGTGACCCTGGGCAAGTCACTTAACCCCCATTACCTCACACACAAAAAAAGAATGAAAAGGGAAGTGCTTCACAAAATCATGGAAGCATTAAATAAATAGTGTCTGCTAAGTTGAATGCACCAGAGCTAGGTGCTGTGTATTGTTCTCAAGGACCTTAAAACCTAATGGGAGGGGTCAACTTGACTGTGTATTCCTCAGGTAGGGGGCTGTCATGTTATGCAAATCAGGCAAGCTACCCAAGCTGAAACAGCACCATCTCCTTTAGACTTTGATGAAGTCATCCCAGTGCCCTAAACCTGAGAATCTTTGGAACAGCAGAAATTCTAGTCTAGTGTCTAACGACACCATCCCAGGAAGCAACTCTTTCCAGATTTAGTTGTTGTTCAGTCCTGTCTGACTCTTTGTGACCTCATTTGGGGTTTTCTTGGCAAAGATACTGGAGTGGTTTGCCATTTCCTTCTCCAGCTCACTTTACAGCTGAGGAAACTGAGACAAACAGGGTGATGAGACCTGCCCAGGGTCATATAGCTAATAAGTGTCTGAGGCCAGATTTGAATTCAGGAAGATGAGTCTTCCTGACTCCAGGCCCAGTACTCTATCCACTTCACCATCTACCTGCTCTCCTTTGGAGATCCAGCCTGGCAACTATCAGTCAATCAGCAATAAACATTTATTAAGCACCTACTACGTGCTAGCCACAGTGCTAAGCTCAGAGGTTACAAAGAAAGCCAAAGATAGTCCCTGCCCTCGTGCTCACAATACAATGGGGGAAGGAACAGATCAGAAGAAGCTGAGAAGGAAAGGTGGAAAGTCGCTGGTATGGGCATGATGAAGTTCAGAGGACCAAAGTCATGGGAGAAGTTCTGAGATGGCTGGAAGATCTGGGAGGAGTTTCCAGATACCAGCCCTTCACACTCTTAGATCAGAGGGAGGGAAGGACTCCAGGGTACAGGATGCTGAGGAAGTATGAGTTTCCGAGTTGGATGTGATGTTGCAGGATGATGAGTTTCTGGAGACTTAAGTTCTCCTGCAGTTGCTGCAGATACATCTGTTGAAAATCCAGAAAAGAAAGCTCTTGAACACCAAAGCTATTGGCACTATCAAATGGTTCAACACCAGAAATAGATATGATCAGTGGAAATGACATTTAAAAAGAGGCACTGAACCCTAAGGACCATAGGACCTTTCTGTTTCACTCAGAGTGGAAACTTTCTATATCCTTTGTTCTCCCCATTAGAATATGATCTTGAGAAGCCTGTCTTACTTTTCCATTTGTATCCCAGTGCTTAGCATAGTGCTTTGAACGGAGTTAAGTGCTTAATAAGTGTTTGATTCATTCACTCATTCTCACTCTCTTGTCTACTAGCCCCCACCCAGGAAACCTGGGACAACATAATCATGGTGCTGCCTGGTATTCTGAGACTAGCTCCTCACTTGTACGTAAACAGTACATAATATTACATAAGTAGCAGTGGATAGTGTTAGATTGAAAGTCAGCAAGATTTGAGTTCTAATTCTTCCTTGGACAGTAGTCCAAATAACCCTGAGCAAGTCACTTAACCTCTGTCTGCTTCAGTTTCTGAATCTGTAAATGGGGATAATAACACCTACCCATCAGGATTTTATGAGGAACAAATCAGATAGTATGTATGGACTGCTTTTCAAACCTTAAAGTGTTACAATAATGTTAGCTATTATTATTCTTAAAAAGAGGAAAACCACAACAAATCCTTAAGCAATGTTTTATCAGTGAGACTGGTGACTTTGCACAGCCCTGCCTTAAATCCAATTCACTTGCAAATCATGACATCATCTTCCCTGAAGTCCTCTTCGAGAATAAGGGATAAACAACAACCTGTGTGTAGTAGTAGCTGCCCCACTGGGGACCCAACTGGTCAGTTCCAGTTAGGCAACGAAGGTCCTTCCTTTCTCCCTTCCTCCTTTCCTTCCTTCTTTCCTCTTTCTTTCCCTTCCTTTCTTCCTTCCTTCTTTTCATTCCTTTTTCCTTTCTACATTTCTTCCTTCCTTCCATTCCTTCTTCCTCTCTTCTTCTTTCCTTTCTTTCTTCCTGCCTTCCTTCTCTCCTTCCTTCCCTTCTTCCCTCCTCCTCTCCC